GAGAGAGAGAGAGAGAGAGAGAGAGAGAGAGAGAGAGAGAAATGAAAGCAAAGCCTAATCAAATTACTTGTATGTGTCTAACATAAATCTAAGTGCTTTGCAAAACCAACTTAATCACATCTCAACAATGCTATAAAGGTGATTTTGTTAGTATCCTCAACTAACATTTAGAAAAACAGACTCTGAGTAACCATCTTCATCACACAACTGGAGAGGGGCTGGCGAAATCTGAGCAGGCTGCCTGCTTTATCCTGCCTTTTTAACCACTACATAAGCTTGCCTCTCAATAACCCACAGGAGGAAAAAGTGGTAACTCAGAGTCCCAAGGAGGCTTGGGTTTGGGAAATAAAATGCTATTTGCAGAATGAATATGGGTCTGTGAGGATAGTGTTGTTGTCACTATCACTGCTTTCCATCTTTTGACGGGGATCATTTTACCACACAAAGGAAAGCTGACAGCATTCAGACAAAGTTGGGAGGGAATCACCACAGAGACTGTCCTCCCAAGAGGTGACAAGAGAACCGTAAATAGCTCTTCCTTAAGAAGCCAACTGATTCTTGGCTTTGACACAGTGAACTAATATGACTGATCTGTAAATTCTTTCTTCATTTTTATTTTGGACAATTTTTATTGTTATATTCCTTTATGTTTGTAAATAATTTATTTTAAATTTGCAATCTATTAAAAAATTAAAATAAAAAAGAAGCCAACTGATGCCATTAATATTTTGCCCCATTGAGGGAAGGTCATGCCTAGTACTTAAGAAAACATTCACTGTATGACTACAGAGTGGGGCAGAAGACGCATAAAACTTATGAAAATTGCTCCCAGAAAGTGAATTTCATCTCATGTCATGAGACAATGAGAGATAGCTTCACATCCTTGCTTCCAATTTTTGTGGCCCACAAAAAAAAAAAAAAAGGCTAATGGTAACCATCTCAAGAACACTAACATACCTTGCAGAGGACTACATGTCTAAGCCAGTTTGGGAGTCAATGATTCCAAAATCACAGTAAAAAAGAAAAACCTTTTCTACATGAAAAGGAGCATGGGAGCACACACCAGGCGCAAGTGACTCTTGTGAATTGGACACAGGAAATTAATTCACTCTTTTTTCTGTCTCCACTTCCCCGGCACTTCCTTGGCTTTGTTTGATGTTGGCCACTTTAAGCAGAATATTCCTGGATGAAAGGTAATGAAGCTGCCAAAAGAAATATTTAATCAAAATTGCACAAAATATTCTAATTAGTACATCCACAATTTGAAATCAGCATTTGTTGTATCAATACCCATAGCCAAGAATTTCTTAAGTTCTTTACATATTTAATTTCATCATGGTATTCTCTGAATTTGTATATAATGAATGGCATTAATAAACCAAATGATTAAAAGGATAGGGTAAAGTTAATCAGCCTAAAAACTACCCTAATTAGGTACTGAGGAATATACTTTATATATTTTTCTAACCATATTTAAAAATTAACTATCAAAAATTATGAACAACTAGGCTAAGTTGTAGTAAATATGTTTTCTTTAAAAAAATCAAATTTTAGGGCTGGCCAGATAGCTGAGTGGATTAAAGTGTCTGCTTAGGCAGACGCAAGGACCAGGGCTTGATCCCCAGCTGTTGTGCTGGCCCAGCCCCTGAGGTGCGCTGAGATGGGGATTGAGACTGGGCGTGGTGGCATGCACCTGTAATCAGAGCACTTGGGAAGCTGAAAATAGGAGGATCACTATGAGTCAGATCTGTGCAGTGAGACCCTGTAGACCCTGTACTAAATGCATTAAAAAAACCCAAATTTTTATTTCCAAAATGCAAATGTATTCTAAAGAGCGAAAGGTATTTTATTTTTAGCTTGGTAGTTTATTGCTTTAAAACATTTTTATTAGTGCATATTTATAGTACATAATGTAATACGTTGTAGGGATCAGAATCAGAACATGTACATAAAACATTTCAATTCTTTTTTTTTCCCTGTCCCTGCATCCATTTTTTACCAGCATCATACTCATTTATTTATAAGACCTTATAAAGTTAATTATCATATATACGGAATAACAGGCAAAAGGTATTTTCAAATATACCAAAACTTCTACCTACTCTCACTGCAGGGACTGAAAACTCCTCCTTGAACCAGAATTGTACAGACTAATCTAGGTCTCTAGGCCTGGGGCACGGCAGCTGTGAGAAGTTCCTAAACTCCTTCCTGCCTTCCAACCTTGAGAGCACAGACAGCCTAAATATGGTGAGGGAACACATGTTTCTCTCCCCGCATGCCTTTTCTATTTCTTCTGCTTCAGAATATCCCATCATATTACTATTTTGCAACAATAATTTCCATTTTTACTGCATAATACA